GGATCCGTTCGGCGTGGAAGGACGATATAAATGCCACCACTGCAGAAATGCTATATGGCCAACCGTTGCGACTTCCAGGAGAGCTGTTGACACCCCGAATTCGTGAGGAGGACGACATCAACGCGGAGACTTTCGTTAAACAGCTGAGGCAGCGATTGCAGGACATAAGACCAGCAGTCATCAACCGTCATGGTGACAAGAAGATTTTTATCTTTAAAGACCTTGCAACAACGGGGCAAGTTTTCGTCCGCCACGACGGCCCTAAAAGACCTCTCCAACATCCATACGATGGGCCGTACCGAGTGGTTAGCCGTTCCGACAAGTTCTTCATAGTGAACGTCAAGGGCAAGAACATTACAATTTCAATTGATCGGCTAAAACCGGCATACACGATACTTGACAACATAGAACAACCCGAACAAGAGCCAGAACAACTTGGCGGATACGTTATTACCACAGCTCCGTTAAAGCCTGACCCACAACCCGAGCCACCAGCAGCGCTTATCGCATATACAAATTTTTGATTAAAATCATTTTAAGATAATAATAAGTATTTGTCGTAGAAAACGTATAGTATGCACCTCGTTTATAAACTTTTCTATACACTCATTAATTTAAGAACTCGCTCGCAAGCTCACTCGTGCCTAAATTAAATTTGTGTATAAAATGGCGTTTATCAAACTTGATACATAATATACTATTTTTTTATAGAATTTTTTCAAAATAGATAAAATAACATAAAGAACTCATGTCATAAGACCTTTTGTCGCACTCGTCCATTACAAAAGTCGTTCCTTCGTGGCTCGTTTTATAAATTGTCCGCGTGCGACAAAATGACCTATAGTTACTTAGTATTGTGGATAGGACCTTGGTGCTTAGCACGGCAAATTACCTAATTTGATAACACAATTTTAACCTTATTGTTGGTTATTTCGCGAAGCGTTTTTTTTTTTAAATAATGTATTGCTCGGGCGCGGATGAGGATACCTCGAAAACTTTTCGAGTTGAAATTTTTTTTAATTTTCAAAAATGTTTTACTTCAAAATGGAAAGTAAATTTTACAGACAGAAACAGGAATCAAAGGGTAATGCAGTTTAACATACTAAGTAGTATATTATGTATCAAGTTTGATAAACGCCATTTGTGTTTAAAAAAGTTTATAATCGAGGTGCATACTATACTTTTTCTACGACAAATACTTATTATCTTAAAATGATTTAAATCAAATATCTGTATAGGGCTTCATCTATAAAACAATAGGGGAATCTGTGTTACCGTCAAATGTCAAATTTGTATGTGTTATAAATACAGATTATTAAGGTTATAAATCGAAATGTATTCCTTGAAAATGGGTTTACAACAGTTTTTCACAGTGTACGAGTCCAAGCCCGTTAAGTTATAGTTTACTGCCGGCAAAATTAAAAGGTCAGTACAATGTTCATATAAACTTTTCAAATATTGGCGTTGAGAAACTATTTAATACTGTTCTATTTTTTTTATTGAAATAATAAAATAATTTTCACGTTTAGTATTATTTTACAAGGAAGGCACTTTATTTTAACGATTGTATGACATTTGACAACTGTCAACTAACTTAAGACTTCAGCCCGTGATTAAAGCGCCATAAAGCCACAACTTGTACGACAATGGGCGTTTTAAAGGTGGGAGTATTAAGAAGCCTTTTTTAGTAAGAGATCTTTATCGAATTAAAACTAAACGGTCAAAAGTACGTTTAAATTTTTTTGGCATTGAAAAAAGTTTATTAAATAAAATCCCAAAAACCAAATTAAATACAGGGGGACCCAATGAAATATTAAGTAATAATGCGACGTTGCCAAATTTGTTCAAATTTAGTGGCGGTGTTGCCAAATTAAAAAAAAATCGGAAAACAATCATAATTAGTAAAAAACATTTATCAGGTGGATCTTTGAATTATAGTTAATTTGTTTTTGGAAATCATATACTGGGGTACCTAACAAAATATCCAGCAATACTATGACAGGTGACAGATGACAAATGATGTCAGGTATTATGTTAAAATATGACAGGTGTCAAGTTAACAGATATAAAAATCATATTTTAATTATTTAATTTCTACCCAGTTTATGTGGAGCGGTCGTTTAAAACAAGGTTTAGAACTAAATATTTATAATTCCAAATCAGGAATATTACCAAACCACTTCTACTACACTGACCGACAATAGTACATTATGAACCAGGCGGAAAAAAGCTCATATTATAGCCGAGCATACATTTTCCTAGTAGATTATGTGCGAGGAAATTAATAAGCTTTCGCCGCCGGGTTTTGTATACTATTTTTTTTCATGCATTTAATTTATACTTCTTTAAGATTCTGTCACATCATACATGTATTTAGGATAGATACATTAGACATGATGACATTTTAACTTCACTTTTGTACGGAGGTTTATAATAATATGAAGTCTTTCTATACAGGGTATCACCAAATAAGTTGTCATCCTTTAATTGGATGATAGTACGAGGTGTGTTCAGAAAATATCGGGAATTTTCGTTTTTTGAAACAAATATTTATTTATTCGTCTACATTAATGTTGTCGCCTTCAAAATAGTCCCCATTGGATATTATGCACATGTGCCAGCTCTTCTTCCAATACTCGAAACACTTCTAAAACTCGATCTTTGGGATAGCCTTTAGTTCTTTTAGCGATGCGCTTTTAATGTCATCTATGCTTGCTAAACGACGGCCCTTTAAGGTTCTCTTTATTTTTGGGAATGGGAAGAAGTCAGACCGAGGCATGTCTCGCGAATATGGAGGCTGGGGCATCATTACAGTATTGTTTTTGGCCAAAAATATTGTTCAAAATTTAACAATTTTTGAACACATTTTGCTGCCACGCGTTTCATACCCAAAACATTTGAAAACATTTCATGGGATGAGCCAATCGATATACCAACATCATCAGCGACTTCTCTGATGGTTTATAACCATTTCTTCCACTTTTTCCATGTTTTTATCGGTTGTTAATGTGCTTGTGCGTTCGGGGCGTTCGTCATCTTCAACGTCTTCACGGCCATCTTGGAAACTCTTATACCACTTGTAAACTCTCGTTTTACTTATAGCAGACTCACTATTGGCCTTTGTTAACATTTCACAGAATTTATTTCATTTTTTAAGCAAAATTGGATACAAATTCTTTAATCCATTTCTTTTAACGAACGAAAAGCGCCGAGCTCAAAAAACACGTCTAACCTTAGCAGCTGCCACAGACAAAGTAAACAATAAAAACAGCTAAAGTTTTTATCATACTTCGGGGGCATGTATACCAACATAATAAAGAAAATTTTATGACAACCGTACCCTCCGAGCCCGCGAAATTTAACAATTCCCGTTATTTTCTGAACACACCTCGTACACGCCAAAATAAGAAAATTTTTCCTCCATCATTTTTGCTTTAGTGCCATTCTTTTTAATAACAAAATCATTAAAATTTTTATATGTAAAGTAGAAATTTTGAGCCGCCACTGGTTGTTGCTGACCTACAACAAATTACCAAAACATGCTCGCACAGTGGGCAATATTCTACATTTATTAAAAATTTATATTTGTGTTATCATTCATTACTTGTTGATAATCGTTTTTGTTTTGCATACTCAGCTATTTTTAGGTACTTTGAATAAAACAATACTTACTTTTTATTGTTAGGTATCTCGAAGATTCCGTGGTTTTCAAGTGTTCCACAAAATTATAACAAATGTTCAACAATCCCGCCTAGGGTTGCCAACTTTTGGTTATTGAAATAAAGGACAAATTGGGATTTTTTGTTGGGTGCCACGTCTACTTTACAGCTTTTCCGATTTTTTTTTTCGGACGAGGTGGTGTAGAAGGGGCACCGCTTGACGTAGATGTCTGTGGGACATCATCACCTGCATTCATGATGATTTGATTGATGATGTTTAGCAAAAACCTGCAAATAAATAATGATTTGGCATTTAGGCAACTACTTGTTTAAAATAGAAAATGCTACTTTTTATGAATCTGTTTAATTTAATTTTCCAATTAAAGTTTAAAAATAAATTGCGACAAAAAACTGAAATCTAATAATATAATTTTAATATTGTATTTTCCACTTACCGTTTCCTGTTAAAAAGTTGTAAAATAAGGTTAAAAAAACACCTTACACACAGGGACTAGTCGACTACACACAAGGGCTCAACACAACAAGGAACAAAATAAAAATACAAGGTATGCTGGATAAATTGGAGCTCGGGGATTTACCAAAATATTTCAAATGTTGCCAATTTTACATTTTATGGTATTTGTATGGGCCTTTTATGAAATAATTGTGGATTTATCTGTATTTCCGGATTTTAAAGGACATTTGCCGTCCTTTGACACCTTTCAAAAGGACAAAGGACAGTATTTAGAAATAAAGGACTGTCCTTTGAAATAAAGGACGGTTGGCAACCCTAATCCCGCCGTTATTATCTACTCAGTATACGGATGATTTCAGATTTCAGCTGCCGTGCAGTGACAAGTTTGTGGAGTTGTTCTAATGTGTCAACTTCGCTTTGGTACACTAAACTGTTCATGTAGCCCCAGAGAAATCACAATAACAACCGAACTATCAGTAATCAATGATAACAAAGTATTAAATAAGTTTGCTTGATATTACATAATACACTGTGCGCATACCTGTTTATTTTTTGCTTGGATGAATAATATCGTTGTTTTTAGAGGTAAAAACAATGATGATATAGGATAGGTCAGTGACATCCAGTGGCTCCCTGGTTTTGTCAAAAAAATTTCATAATTTTTTTATAAAAAACAGAAGCTCTAATGCAAAAATGATAGAGGAAAAACTTTCTCGTTTTGGCGTATACTATCATCCCCCCAAAGGAAAACAATTTATTAGGTGACACCCTGTATAGAATTTTTGCTGCAAGTTAACCAACAACTTTTATCTCGTCAGTTCCTGTTGGTTCGATGCGTTTTAGCACGTTTTCCTTTTTTGTTTCAGCCAACAACGCGTCGACCGATAGCGTGCTGCAAAAGTTCCGCAAAAGAATTTCGCGCTTGCAGTCGAAAAAATCGACCAGCAGAGATTCGGAGGACGTAGAGGAACGTTTGTCGCCGCAACCGATCAAACCGACCGAAAATGAAAAATTGTCGAATCTTGATGCGCCCTTGTCACCTGTCGAGACCAAAGAACCCATCATCGAACAAAGACACAGGTAAAATTATTTGGCTTATATTGAAAATTAAAAATATATGTGGATGTTTCAAATTAATTGTAACAACGTTCTGCGCTATATATTCATATTTGTTTTAAATTTGTTTCCTTGTTTACCTGATGCCAAAACATAAAAAATCTTTCAAAATCGCGAAAATCGCGGGATTTGCATATGGAAGATGCCATTAAAAGGTATTAAGGATGAAATGATCCCAATATTTCAATTTTTACTCAATTAAAAAAACAATATTTAAAAATTTATTTTTTATATATAAAAAATAAATTTTTAAATATTTATAAACTTGTTACGGATATAGTCGCTTAGTAAGTGCTGTGATAGTGTGTGATTATCTAATATAATCGATTTTTTTCGATTAATATTTGATTAATCGATTATTAATTAATCGATTTTTTGATTAATCGATTATTTGACTAATCGATTATTAATTAATCGATTATTTGATTAATCGAGTACTTGATTAATCGATTAAATTATTAATTGTCTTGTTTTTAACACTTATGACATATATTAAGCTGGGTCTCCACCAAAGCAACATTTGTCGACAAATGTTGTCAACAAAGTTACCGAAAATTTATAAAAGTTGCCGACTTTTTATGTCGTAAATTGAAGTCGTCGACTTTGTTTCGTTTCCCGTCGAGAAGCGGTACATCAAAGAAAAAGCAGCCCCGCAACAATGTTTACAGATAGGTCGAAACACGTCTCCACCGAATTAGATGCGATTGGTCATTCGTACGGTGTGCCGACAGTCGTTCCACATGTTGCTAAACACTAAATAAATTTTTCCATTTTTAGTCGATAAATAAAGTCGGTAACAATATTTCTTCAGTGGGGACAACGTGATATTTTTCGACAATGTTTATGAAAATAGCAACAAAAGTTGGTGACAATGTCGTCAACTTGTGTTGCTTTGGTGGAGACCCATGCAATAAAAGTTTAAAATTTTTAGCAGCATTTTTTAAACCATAAGCATAAATCATAAAAATGCGTTTTCTGAAAAATCACTATTCTTATTTTGTTTAGTTTAAAAAAAATGCCCAATTGGTCATATTTTTTCTATTTACATATTTGATTGTTTTAATTATAACAATTAATTAATTATAATAATTATCACGATTAGATAATTAGGTATGACAATTAAATATTGGGCATAATGTATAAGTAAAAATGCTGATAAAATGTAGGTAGGTACATACACTCTGTCACTATTATAAATTGGCAGAGCAAAGGAATGTTCATGCAGTTTAGATAAATAATATTAAAAAATATACCTATAAATATAAATTATATAATAATATTATTTATATTATAAAAAATACGTTTAAAAAGCACACAAGAATTTAATTGTGTGACACAACACGACAATTGTTGAATAACTAAATAACTTAATTCATACGGTCCGCCAACTTATCGTGGACAGACAGTACATTCTTTACTTAAAATAATAGTTATTATTATAATAATAAGATAATCGATTAAGTAATCCAATAATCGATTAATCGATTAATAATCAATTAATCGATTATTTTGCCCACCCCTAATGTGTGCTACTAAATTGTGTGAGTGTACCTTTGAATAAAAAACCTCAGGAAGGACCCTACCGAATCTCGTAATAAATTTACGACGGAAGTCGCCATTTTAGGAGTCCGATTATGAGTCATTTTTTCTGACAGATGACAGTTTATGTTTGTTTATTTTTTGTAAAAAAGTAAAGCATTATTGACAGAAAGCAATAACCAAAACGTGATTTTCAACTTTGAATGTAAAAAGTCAATATAAGCACAAATCTTAAGAAATCTTAAAGAACAACCAAATTACCTATAATACTTTTTTCTTTAGATTTGGTGGCATGGTTTGGCGCAGTAGTAAAGAAAAGAAGAAGCTAAATAAAGCCGCTAGAAACGCTAAGTGCAACAGCGGCGACAGCGGAATACACATAGAGGTAAGAGTTTAAATTTTTTAATTCATAAAAGAGCCCTTTAATTTTTTATATTTTGCCTGTGTTTTTTTGTATAGAACAATGCATTCCCGGGTGGAACACATCTTAATAGTCTCTATCTAATACAACAACAGCTTAAAAGTGAACAGGTTACAATATTAGTTAAGTTAAAAAAACATTTTAATAAATTAACAGCGTTTATCAAGTTTATTTTCTTAGTTTTAAAATTGACAGCACAAAAGTAAACTTTGTAACAAAATCTTATGTCGCACCCACGGTATACTATGTATATTAGTTTAAACAATTGTTTCTAATAACCAAAATATCTAAAAATATGTAAAATTCTAAGTTAGAACTTTGGTAATGTTGGTTGATTTATTTTTTAATTTCACTTTAAAATAAAATATTATCGCAATACCTTGAGGTAGAAATTATTATTATTATTTTATTTTTTTATATCACGAAATACTAAGTTTCAAATTTAGTACAAATATATCTAATGTATATGTTACGGATAAACTAAGAATTACGGGTAAAATTAGGTTTAACCGGTTAAAGTATTTAAATGTAAAATTTTTATTTGATTTGGTTAAAGTTTGCGTTGCGGTTTAAAGAAAGAAGAGTTTTGTTAAGTATCCTTTAATATTTTTTTTAACCACAAGGTCGGTTAAATTATAGAAAGTTGCATAATTAAAATTCTATTAAAATAGCATTCAATAATTTTAAAAAATCAGATTTTGTTAAAAATTTAAAAAAAAAAACTAAAAACAAATCTAAATTTTCATCCAATTTGTGATTTTTTTCGCTTACTTTATCTTGAGTAACAACCACCATATTTTGTTTTTCCTATGTCCACCATATTGAAATTTTAAATATTTTGATAAAAAAACGCATCCAACGGATTATGATTGTTTTAAGTAGAAAAGTCCAATAATGATTTGTCTAACTCAAAAATTGACTATGCTGCAAAATGCCTCTCCTGTAAAACTTTTATCACCTGAGGTTCGTTTATTATTATTATTATATATATATATATATTATATTATGTTATATTATGTATTATTTAACCAGATTAAAGTGTAAAATGTACCAACAAAACCAACTTTTGCAAGAGTAACGAAAACATGAATATCTTATCATACTGAAGATTTATATAGACATAAAATGTTAATTAAATATTTAAATTTTCAATCTAACGGCCGTTGAAATCCCAAACTATGTGCAACTACGAGGTGTGTTAAGAAAATAACGGGAATTGTTAAATTTCGTGGGTTCGGAGTGTCCGGTTGTCATAAAATTTTCTTTATTATGTTGGTATACATGCCCCCGAAGTATGATAAAAACTTTAGCTGTTTTCATTGTTTACTTTGTCTGTGGTAGCCGCTAAGGTTAGACGTGTTTTATGAGCTCGACGATTTTTCGTTCGTTAAAAGAAATGGATCAAAGAATTTGTATCCAATTTTGCTTATTAAATGAAACAAATTCTGTGAAATGTTAACAAAGGCCTATAGTGAGTGTGCTATAAGTAAAACAAGAGTTTACAAGTGGTATAAGAGTTTCCAAGATGGCCGTGAAGACGTTGAAGATGACGAACGCCCTGAACGCCCAAGCACATTAACAACCGATAAAAACATAGAAAAAGTGGAAGAAATGGTTATAAATCATCAGAGAAGTCGCTGATGATGTTGGCATATCGATTGGCTCATCCCATGAAATTTTTTCGAATGTTTTGGGTATGAAACGCATGGCAGCAAAATTTGTTTTAAAATTGTTAAATTTTGAACAAAATTTTGGCCAAAAACAATACTGTAATGATGCCCCACCCTCCATAATTGCCAGACATGCCTCTGCCTGACTTTTTCCTATTCCCAAAAATAAAGAGAACCTTAAAGGGCTGTCGTTTTGCAACCATAGATGACATTAAAAGCGCATCGCTGAAAGAACTAAAGGCTATCCCATAGATCGATTTTTAAAAGTATTGAAAGAAGAGCTGGCACATTTGCATAATATCCAATGGGGACTATTTTGAAGGCGACAACATTAATGTAGACGAATAAATAAACATTTGTTTCAAAAAACGAAAACTATTTTCTGAACACACCTCGTATGTAGCTGAAAATGAAAACATTAATACTTACTCAGAGCCAGAGTATGGTAAGTCCTGATTTTAAAGGAGATCCGTTTAAAAATTTAAAACGCGGTATTTTCACAAACATTATTGTTTTAAGCTCAATTTTTATGAAACCCACATAATATTATCATTTTGTGGGTTTCATAGAAAAAGAGCTTTAAACAACATTGGTAAGATACAATTTCGCGTTTAAAATCTCTCCTTCAAAAATCAGGTTGTTGGGCAAGTCTTTGGTTACACATATACACATAAATTTAAAGTCTGATTTGTGGACCTTAACAGTCATTTTAACAAAATAGTTTTTATGTTATATGTTCAATACCGCTCTCATTATATACCCAATATAATGCAATTTCTATTTTTTTATTTAATCTCTTGTAAAACTACCAAATATACAAGTTATGTTTATTTGACTTTTTTCTGGTCTAAAACAATTAAATTGTTGAGTTTAAGAACAGTACATGTCCAAAATTTTTATTTTGACAAATCATTTTCTAAAAGCAATTGAAAAGTTTAAAATGCATTTTTTTGAGGACAAATAAATTATTTTACAAAATTTAGTTATTATATTTTATAAAATAGTTAAAATATTCTCAAAAAAATGCATTTTAAACTAAAACTGATTTTGTGAAATAATTTGTCAAAATTTTAACTTTTGGACTTTTACTGTTCTTAATCTCACCGATTCAACTAGTGATTTAATTTAAAAACTCCAGTTATTAATTTAACGAGAATAAATATTAATATTGTTAAAATATACACAGGGATCAATACAAAAATTAGATGTGTTCTACCTTAACAAACAAAGAAATTTTAAAAAGGCTTAAGTAGTACTAACATACACACTTTTACCTCTCTGTACACTAATTAATTTTTATGAAATTTTTTTGACTAGTCTGCAGCTAGATTAGCTTGGTAAGAAACATTTGTTTTTAACATTGAAAGTCAAGAACCAAACTATTTTGGAATTGCCCTTTTTTTCTAGAAAAATAAAAGATTTTTTTTATTAACAATTACTTAAATTTACAAGTGCTTTTAAAACTTTTTTTAATGTGGATTACATTTAACATTTAATCAATTGTTTTAAGTAAGTGAATTAAATTTAAGTTATTAATTTAAAAGGGCTATTCTTTAAGTTAGTAGTTAGAAATCACGATATCACATCTCCCATGCCAAGTTTTTTTTTTAATTTTACCTTTTAATTTATTTTCTATAAATACTCAAATTGAACTTATACGTAAGCTATGGTTTTTAAACAATTGTACAAGAAAATTTATTTGACACACATATTGAACCTACAATTTAATTCAATATTAAAAAAGTTTTTCAGAAAAGAACACAATGGCTTATTTATATTTTTAAAATAATAACCAAATTCATTATATGCCACATAAATTAGATATTGTTAAATTATTTATTATCAAACCCTCCTAATTATATCATTATGAAACTATAACTATAAATTCATTTTAATAAATTAAATGAAATATCTTATCATGGCTAGCTTTTTTAATAAACTTGTTTTATTTGTAAATATGAAATTTATATAGGAGTGCCTATTTTTATTTTATTTTTATTTAGTATAAGCTAATCCTGTTGAGCACGGTAAGCACATAGTAATTTATTGGAGGTTGGGGGAAATTTTGACTTCTCCTTAATTCAACATATTCCATTCAAGACCATGACACGGTTGATCAAATTACTAGTATCCTGTTCTATTAAAATGTATTTTAAAGACTTTAAGTAATATATAAGTGGTTCAGTCGAGGTGCAAACCACTTTAAAATCTTAGAGACCTCCGTTCAATGTTAGTGGACGTTGTGTTGTTATTAATAAGGAAAACTTGCTTAATCATGTGCATGAATACCCTTGTTGTTGTAATCCTTAGCCGTTAATTCGTAAGCGCTTTTAAATTTTAAAAAATCAGTGGTTTACCCATCGGGTTCGGTGCCATCCTTGTATAATATTATGCGCATGAGTATGAGTATAAGAGACGTATAACTGGCCCCATTGCCTCATCACTCCCGGACCCCGTACAGGCCTCTGTTTCCTTACGCCGATTTTTTTTTCTCCACCGACAAAGGCACGGTTTACCCGTGTTTGCTTGGTACGAATCAGTGGCGGCTGGTGGATTTTGGGTATACCAATATTTCAGTTATTAGACATGGGACCCACACCAAATTTATAATAGTTTATAATGACATTAAATAGACAAGTTCGGCGCAAACAGAATTTAAATTGAAGTTTGCGAAAAAAGTTAGTTTTTCCTGTCGCCTCACCCGCCTCCAGGCCCCCCTATTAGAGATAATTCAAATTAAAGTGGTGCAATTTATTATATACTATAATTTATCGACAAATTTAAAATTTTATTTAAAAAATCCAAATATTACAGGTTTTATACCATTTTAAATATTTTTTTATTTTAATTTAATGTCATTATAAACTATTATAAATTTGGTGTGGGTCCCATGTCTAATAACTGAGATATTGGTATACATAAAATCCACCAGCCGCCACTGGTACGAATGTCCATTGCGTCACGTACTGTACATTTGGGGCTCGAGAGCGAAATGCCAATAGTTTGAATAGCCTTTCCCGAATTCGCCGGGCCGTTGCTATACGCCCAGTAGGATCATAAAGAAGGTAGGACGGGAGGGATATACATATTGGTGTTTAGGGGACAATTACGCCTACTCAAATCTAAGTATGACGCGGTATCCCCCTAGACCGGGCAGTATTACTGTTTGAAGTTGGGGAGTTGTTATTTCGCTGCATGAGCCTAACTAGTCGTGGTCTACCTCTTGACCGTTATTGTCTGTGTCCTTGTCCAATTCGGATTGTTCATGCACTTGGTAGTTGTTTTCCTTATCTT